GCTCCCACCAAGAAAATGAGAACTAGTTCAGCTTAGAAGCAGAAGAAAGCTTTATTCTTCCATCAGGGAATGGAGAGGTGCAAGTTCTGGCTCTAGGGCACACACTGTCCCTGACAGGTGGTGGGCAGGGCTGCCTTATAGGGTTCTCTCCTTGGCAGGGCGGGTGCGGAGTTCTCTGGGGTCTGGGGCAGGCGTATTGCTCAGGGCTCCAGGTGGCAGTGTCGGGTGCAGGGTCTGTGCACACGACCCTCTGCTGCTGCCACCATCTTGAATCTTGGCGTTGTGGGCAGTGCTTCTGCACAAGGCCCTCAGAGCTGAAGCGTCCGTGCAGCCATTTACACCAGCAACTCTGGTCTGAAGCACCGGGTGTGAGGCCTCTGCACGAGGCACCCTGTGAGCAAAGGAAACCAGATGAAGCACAAAAGAAAAGAGAAAGGTTAGCCTTTATTTTATTACCCAGATTCTGTTTGTATTCCCCGGGAACTGGTTTTGATTTTTTTTTAATTTTTATTTTATATTGGAGCATAGTTGATTAACAATGCTGTGTTAGTTTCAGGTGTGCAGCAAAGAATTTTCACTTATACACATACCCGTATCTACTCTTTTTCAAATTCCTTTCCCATATAGATTATTACAGAATATTGAGTAGCGTTCCCTGTGCTATACAGTAGGTCCTTGTTGGTTATCTATTTTAAATATAGCAGAAGGGTGGGAGGGGGCAGGGATAGATTGGGAGTTTAGGATGGACATGTACACACTCCCTGGGAATTGTTAATGGGATTTGCCGGTGACACTTCCTTGACTCTGTGGTTATTACCTTTGCTGTGTTACACAGGATAGCAGACATAAATCTTCTCACACACTTTGGGGTCAGGTACAAGGGAAAAGGTTCAGGAGCACTGGCGTCAGTTTTCGTGGAAGTGTTTCTCTGGGTGCTGGGTTAGGGCTGCCGATGACGACAGAAGCAGCACAGCAGAGGGGCTCAGATGAGTAAGATGGGGCCGAACTAACAGGGTTGAGATCCTGACTGCACCTCTTACCTACTGTGACCTTGGACTGATTAGTTGATCTTTCCATGTCTCTGTGTCTGTATCTACAATAAGGAGTAAATAATAGTACTCTTATCTAATAGGGGAATTCAGGCAAGTGGGTTTCCCTGTCTCTACTGATCCCTAATGAGTTCCACGAAATATATGATCTTGTAGTTTATCCAGCCTTTTCTCATCATTAGTGTGGGAACAAAGCTTTCTCCGCTTTCTAAATCCTAGGTAGAAGCAGAAATAAGATCATATCTTTTCTTAATTTAGATATGCATAGTTATAATTGCTTAGACAATAATAACTTAAGTTCCTGGTACATGGTAAGCATATAGAAATGTTATATTAACTAAATGAAAAATTATCTAATACAATGCAATATGCATCTGCTAATGTGCATAAAAATGTTTAGTGGTTGGGGCTTCCCTGGTGGCGCAGTGGTTGAGAGTCCACCTGCCGATGCAGTGGACGCGGGTTCGTGCCCCGGTCCGGGAAGATCCCACATGCCACGGAGCGGCTGGGCCCGTGAGCCATGGCTGCTGAGCCTGCACGTCCGGAGCCTGTGCTCCACAACGGGAGAGACCACAACAGTGAGAGGCCGGCATACCGAAAAAAAAAAAAAATTTAGTGGCAATAATTCTTTCCTTAGGGCCCTAGGTCCAGTCATACTCATGGGGCCAGTGGAGTTCATGAATGTCTGATAATTTAGCTAATTCTGGTTCTAATATTCAAAATTCTGAATAAAATAAGGCTAGATCCCCAGTGACATGTGAGATTGTATCAATTTATCTAACAGATGTATAATTGCAGTCCCAGAAGGAGAAAAAAGAGAGGAACTAAACATTTTTTAATGGCCCCCAAATTGCAAATTTGGTTTAAAATATCTACCTACACAACCAAGGATCTCAATAAACCCTAAGCATGATAAACACAGAGTAAAACAAGCCTAGAAACATAATAATTAAATTTCTGAAAGGCAAAGGTAAAAGGAAAGTCATAAAAGCGGTCAGAGTCAGTAACATGGCATAATAGGAAACCCCACACTCCCCAAAGCCTAGGCACACCAATTTTAAAATAAGACACAGCTCAACTCCCCTTGTGAGAAATCCAGAGACCACTTGAAAGGCTCCTGCACACCAGGTGGGCATGAAACCAGCAGTACTGAAGCCACTAGGGAAATATGTGGTACCTTCTTACCGTAATCCCCCAAGGCCTGCAGCACAGCACTTCACGCTGGGAGGAAGACCCCAACTCCCAGCTTGTCCCAGGGAAGATGAGAGGACTGGACCGGACATGCAATGGTCTGACTTTTCAGGAGCAGCCTGAGGGACTTATTTTTCCATCTTGCCTGAGTCTGAGTATTGAGTGGAAAGAGCCCCATGTTGGGAACCACTGAGAACAAAGGTGATGGTTTGAACTAGTGCACGCTCATTGGTAACAGCCCCTCCCCCCCAGCTTAATGCAGAGTGAGCAAAGGCAAAACCCCCAAATTCCAGCTTTTCCCAAAAGCAAAAACTAAAAATTGTTCGCAAGGATGTAGAGAAATTCAGCCACTTGTGCACTGTTGGTAGCAACGTAAAATGGTGCAGACGCTGCGAAAAACAGTATAACAGTTCCTCCAAAAGTTAAAACTAGAACTACCATGTGATCCGGCAATTCCACTTGTGGGTATATTGACAAAGGAGTTGAACTCAGGGTCTTGAATAGTTATCTGCACACCCATGTTCATGGAAACATTATTTACAGTAGCCAAGATGTGGAAGCCACCTAAGTGTCCACGGACAGACCAATGGATAAAGAAAATGTGGTACGTACATAGAATGGAATATTATTCAGCCTTAAAAAAGACGGAACTGCTGCAATATACGACAACATGAATGAAGCTTGAGGACTTTATGCTAAGTGAAATAAGCTAGTTACAGAAGGACAAATAGCGCATGATTCCACTTATGTGAGGTATCTAAAGTAATGATACGCATACAAGCAAAAAGTGGAGTGGTAGCTACCAGGAGCTGGGGAGAGGGAAAGATGATGAGCTGCTTATCAATGAGTATAAAGTATCCATTTAAGATGAAAAAGTTCTAGAGGTCTGCTGTGCTCATAGAGAACAATACTGTGCTGTACACAGTTAAGATCTCATATTTTTCAACCACAATAAAATACATAAAATTAAAAAGTGGGGGGACAAAGCAGGCAGAGACATAAAAGACACACGTCCTTCAGGGAGTAATAAGAATTGCAGTTGACTTCTCGTCACTACAAAGTTCGAGTGCACTGGAACGGTATCGCAGAAAGTGCTTCAGGAAAAACAGTGATAAAATTCTGCATCCCAGTGAAAATACCCTTCAAAATTTAAATAAAATAAAGCCCTTTTCAGGTAAAAAATAAGCAGCTAATGTAATTTATTACTAGAATCTGTGCTGTTTTACGTTGTCAGTATTCAGAAAATTCCAGTGATGCGATGATGATTGCAGATGTCATACAGAAGTGCTGTCTTAGACCAACAGAATTTCAGGTCATCTCCCGAAATAAGGAAGTGCTTCTTCCTTGATGTATCAGCTTGGAGAATTCTTATTTTTTTTCTACCACTGGTACATCCTCAGTGTCTTTCTTCTCTGATAATCATACCTATGGTTACACTAATTCATTAGAGATGTGAGAATTTTGTTGTTTCATGGCTTTATTGAGATGTGAGAATTTTTTAAAATTCCTGTGTCTTGGAGGAAAAAAATATATATACATAAATATATAGATGCATACCACTAGAGACTAGTACCTAATGCACTATTCTATTCTCAAATTTCTTTTTGAGGAAGACAAAAAATTCATTATCTTAAAAATATATTTGATGACAATGCAACATTTTTTCAGTTTCCTTTCTGAACTCTTCGAAGGGTGGATTGTACTACAAGAGAAAGCTGAGAGTAAAGTCATCTTCCTGAACATTTTCGAAGCTTTAATTTTCTGAAACCACACAGCACACTAGTGCATAACATACAATGTTAGTTGGAGGGTTTTCAGTATGTAAAGTCCTTTATTAAATTGTATAAAATGTCCTACAGCTTGGTATGAGAATAATGGCTGATATTAATTGTAAAACTCCTCTTTACACACGAAAGAACGTTACATTTGAAGTATCCCTTTCTACCTAGAGTAGTCTTGTCTTGATACAAGTAATTCATATTCATCCTGCAACTTGAAACAGGTTGATAACATGCCAATTTTTTTATCTTGTCAATTTAGAAAAAAAGAGTCATATTCAATATTTACAGATTTAACCTAGTTCACAGAATGTACAAATGTTATGTGTGATAAAATCCCACAAATTCGATCCAATTTTATAGATTTTTCCTGATTTACCTCAAATTCAAAGTATCTCTGCCACATACGTTTTAACAGTTATTGTTAAATAACAATTTTCTTTTTGCATGTGTGTTGTTTCTGGAAAACAAGATGTTAAATTGTCCTGCTATCGTGATATGACAAGCTATAGTACTTAAGTTGTCTTACTCTGCATTCCACGTACACGTTCTAAGTAGAGATAGATATGATGGTGCTGGAAAGAAGAATAATGGCACCAGTAGAGCAGTGGGTTGCATTTATTCCTTATTGATTCCTTATTACTAGCCATATGTATTAGAAGAAAATTGTGAACCAGTAAAATAAACCAGACAGAAACAGAAATCCTGCATGATATCACTTATACGTGGGATCTTCAAAAACAAAAAGTTGAACTCACAGAATAGAATGGTGGTTGCCACGGTTGGAATGTGGAGGAAGTAGGAAGGTCTGCTGGACTCAAAGGGAAATTCATGAGTGATTTGGGAGAAGGGACTCTGGTGGTTCTGTTGACCACTCACGCTGCTTCCCCAGAGCCCAAACAACACACACTGCTTTACTGCTGATTACAGTTTATTCTTTCTTTCTGTCCCCCCCACCCCCCCCGCCAGCATCTCTTGCCATGTGACCAGCCCACCCAGCACTGTCTTGGGCTCGTGGCTGCTTCACAGAGGCACACAGTTCCACTGGTTCCAATCACAGGGCATGGGGACGTGTTGCAGATTGTGACTAATTTTCTGTACGATTTTGTTGGCTCTGTCTGTATGGTTATATACGGGGAAGCCGAGTTTGTCCAGAGCATGGCTGTGGACAAACAACATATGGGAGACGAGACCCTGGCCCCGGTACTCAGGCAGGGTGGCCCCCATCCGCACCTCTCCTGTCTGGTCCATCAGGGACCAGGACACAGGGGTCCCCTCAGGCCCCAGCAGGCAGAAGGTGGGGAAGGTCCGGATACAGCGCTCGATGAACCGCTGGCTCCTCTCATTGCCACCGAAATGCCAGAATTTATTCACCATGGCAGCGTGGATAGGATCCAGGGATGAGAGTTTAAACATCTCTTGGTTACTATGGAGAAGAAGGAAAAAGAACAGTCCATAAATAACACATACTGTGGAGTATCATATTTGTTTGCCCCCAAGTTGTCTTCAGACAATGCAAATGAGAGCACAGGTAAAGGTACAGATTCTGCAACCAGACTGCCGGGATTCATAACCTGGCTGGTTGTGTGATCTCGAGCAGGCAATGTAATGTCTCTCTGCCTCCATTTCTTCTTTATGAAGCAGGGATATTAATAGTACCTTCCAAAAATACTGATATAAGAGCAATTATATCATGAGTACCTAGGACTTGTGCCCATAAACAATAAGTACCTAAAAATTAAGTATCGGTCCTTTCAGCAATGCAGTGACTCTCCCCTTAATATGAGGGAATTGATATCACCCCCATTTTACAGATAAGAAAAATTGGTAAACAGAAAATAGGCAAGTGCCCCAAAGCACGTGCTAGCAAGCTGTATATACAGCCAGAGCTTAGAATCAGGGAATCTTAGAATGTTGGCATCAGAGGGTCCTTGGCCACTGTGGGAACTGAATGAAGTCCAGAGAGGGGGAGTGATGTGGCATGCAGGCGGCCCCCGAAGTACAGAACACTGAATCTGAAGGCATCTGCAGGCTGTAAAGAGGCTTCGGTGGGGGGGTGGTCCTAGAAAGAGCCCACCATGTGGAACTAGGAGATCTAGACTGAAGCCCATTATGCCCTTAACCATCCATGGGACCTGAACAAGCTGTTTCATTATCTGAGCCTATTTTCTGTCAGGAAACTAGGGATAATATCTCCTACCTTGTCTATCTCATGGGGTGGACGGGAGAATCAAATGAGATTATAGATGTGCAGGTGCTTTTCAGGTATCACGTGTGATACAATGTGAATAAAGCTTTTCCAGGTACATTAACACACAGAGGGTCATAGGATCGGGCATCTCCAGCTCAAATCTCCACCACCAGTGTTCCGTTCTATTCAGTGTTAGACTGGACATCAATGGGGGAAAATATATAATTTGTTTAACTTCTCTTTACTGGAAAACTTTTTTTTTTAATAAATTAATTTATTTTTGCTGTGTTGGGTCTTCGTTTCTGTGCGAGGGCTTTCTCTAGTTGTGGCAAGTGGGGACCACTCTTCATCACGGTGCGCGGGCCTCTCACTATCGCGGCCTCTCTTGTTGCGGAGCACAGGCTCCAGACGCACAGGCTCAGTAGTTGTGGCTCACGGGCCTAGTTGCTCCGCGGCATATGGGATCCTCCCAGACCAGGGCTCGATCCCGTGTCCCCTGCATTGGCAGGCAGACACTCAACCGTTGCGCCACCAGGGAAGCCCTACTGGAAAACTTTTGCTCTGTGAAGTGAACTCATTAAATGCGTATTTTTCAAGCATCTGCTGTGTGTTCAGTCTGGTATTGAGGATCTATCAGTGAACAACATAAAGAAGGTCGCTGCACTTGTGGAGTTTGAAACGTTGTAGGGGAGAGGGTCAAAGAACAAACAGGTCAGTACACACACAAACAGGCTGATTTCAGATAATGATAAATGCAATAAAGAATAAAAATTGGGTTTTGCAGTTGAAGACTTATGGGAGGCGGTGGTTTTAGACAGGGTTCTCTGAGAAGACCTCTCTGAGGAAATGACGTTTGAGAGTATGAATGACAGAAAGAGGCAAATATATGAAGATCACAGGGAAGGACACTGTAGGCAGACAAAGTGCAAATGCATGTGTGAATGTATGAGATCGAGCTGCAGAAAGATGGCCAGAGCTGCTGGTGGGAGTTAGCTAGAGGGACAGAATGAAGTCCAAAAGGTGATGGGTTCCAGGTCTTACGGGACCTTGAAAGTCCATAAAGGAGTTTGGTTTTACTAAAAGTATGCTGAGGGCTTCCCTGGTGGTGCAGTGGTTGAGAGTCCGCCTGCCAATGCAGGGGACACAGGTTCGTGCCCTGGTCCGGGAAGATCCCACATGCCGCGGAGCGGCTGGGCCCGTGAGCCATGGCCACTGAGCCTGAGTGTCCGGAGCCTGTGCTCCATAATGGGAGAGGCCACAGCAGTGAGAAGCCCGCGTACCACAAAAAAAAAAAAAGTATGCTGAGAAACCTCAATGGCTTCTTGGCAGGTGAATGGACATAATCCACATTCCCTACGAAAAGCGATCACCCTGGAAATGGATTCTAGGGAGACAAGAGGGGATATAAGGGGAGAAGTTGGGAGGCTACTCCAATAGTGAAAGATGTGAATAGTGCAGAGCGTCTTTTTTCAAACTCACATGGCTTTGGGTCTGCCATATCCAGCAGGTAAGTTCTTTGTCTCCGGCAGGGAAGGAAGAAGTTTCCTCGCTGTCTCAGACATCACATAGAGAATGCATTGTGTTTGCTTGACCTGAACGAATTTAGTGGTTGCAAGATTCCGTATCACCTCATCCAGACTGGACTGTGAACCTAGAGAGGGATAAAGTTAGGAGAGAAGCAATTGTCCATTTAGATGCTTCACGAAGCTTCCCGACAGGAGCTATGCAGGACTTAAAGTCAGACGATGTTGCCTCTGCTGTTGCAAGTGACCATGTGACCATGGCCATGTAGCTACCTAAGCATGTTTTCTCTTCTGCAATACAGAGATAATACTAGAAATCCTGACTATAGTTCTGTGAAATCAAGGAGAATTTGTATTTAGAAAACAGTAGGCAACCTTGCATGTTCACATACTACATGCCCAGGTATTGGTCTGATACCACATTTAATCCTTACGTTAACCTTATGTTTTAGGTACTTTAATTATCTTCATTTTTTATATGTGAGGGAACTGAATAATAGTTAAGTTACATCACTTGCACAAGATCACAAAGCAAGTCACAGGCAGAGCAAGGATATCACCCAAGGGAGTCTGACTCCAACAATGACAGGTGTTCTCGTGACTGGGGTAGTGCTCTGTGGCACAAGGACTTATCATTCTAATTCTAGGAATGGAAGGCCAGAGGGGGAGCTCTGCTCTCACATCCAATCACCCTAAGGGATCCTGAATATGACTGAAAAATATATCATGAATCCTCCGGTAACGAGAACTTGCATCACTCACACGTTCTTAAAGGAACCTTAGAGTTTGTAATGCTTGAATTCAACTCCACTGAAGAGGTGGTGGCAGCTGATACAGAGAATGAACATCAAGCTGAGTGTCTGGAGTTTGGTAAAAGGAAATAAAGGTTGTAGGGGGATGTACTCAGGATAAAAAGTGACCCTACGGGGACATAGATATGAGCAGTCCTAGCAGCTAGCACATATCCCAGATCCCTTACATACTTTGGATCTGCAAATGTTGTTTCCAGTTGATGACGTCTGATGTGCTAAGGGATTCTTGACAGTTCTTGAGGTCCTTAGAATAGATTTGGTAGCTGTTGGTGTAGTGATCAAAGTCATCTGCCATATCCTGTTTGGTTGGGTAATATAAATAAATGAAATTGACTCGACCCAGTGATTGGAATACTTGTGCTTGGTATTTATTATACAGTGATGTTTTACAAACCTAAATATTGATATTCTTCTTGATGTACTATCATCATTCCTGAATCATTTACATCATAAGACTAAGTAAAGGATTTAATGAATTATTCCACTTATGAGTAAGAAAAACTTGATGAACTAGGTATTTATATGTTACATTACAATTTCAAATCAGCCAAACACGTACCAGTTTACAAAGCATTCTTCAGTAATTCTGTAATCCTCAGGAGAAGGAAGGAATTTTTGTCAAAGACAAGTTTCCATTGCAAGAGTAAATGTTACTCTGTTTCAAAGAGTCTCAGAACAAATGGATTATGAAAACAATATTGAAATTGACACAGGTAACTTTGTATTAGAATTCTCACATGTGATAAAGCTATACAGAGTGAAGAGACGTGATGTCTTTAAAATGTAACCCACAATGCACTATCGTTTACAAAATAATTCATATTCCCAACAAAACGGAAATGCGAAATTTGCTCAATAAGATCTGCTCAAAATTAACAAATAAAGGGTGAGATTTATTTTGAAGGCAAAGGAAGGAGAAAACAACTACCCAACAAGGGTAGAATAGCTGGAAGGTGTTGCACAGAAATGCCCTCAGCATTAATACCACCAACAATCTCTGTTTTAAAGTTGCATAAAAAAGCGAATATTATTCCATTTTTAGATTTCAATAATTAAATTATCTTTATTTTTGTATTCTGTTTAATTTGCTTTTTTAAAGTCACTATACATTTAAATTTTACTTGTAAATAATTTATATCAAAATACTATGAGATGAATTTTTATTTTATATTTGCAATATGCTTCCAACATATTTATATTTGAAACAGATTAACCACTTAGTTTGAGTGATTTTTAAAAGTCTGGTACTGAAAATATATTCCCAGATACAAGCATTGTAATTTGTTCTTTATATTTCCTTAACGTTATTCATGTTTCACTTCACATATTTTTGGGTGTTATTTTCTCTACTTAGAATGCAATCTCTGCTCTTGTCAACCTGTCAAAAACCTATTATTCTTCAAAATTCAGTTCTGGTGAAATGTCTGTTATGAAGGCTCTCTGATCCTCTCCCTGCATCCCCTGACATCTACAGTTTTAATCATCTCTTGGTCAGTGCCACTTCTGTATCTCGTATGTTTTTGTACATTTTCAAAGCATGTTGTAATTTATCTGCTTGTCTGTGTTTCCCTCCAGGCTGTGAAGTTCTTGAAGACAGGGACTTGTTCACTATCACTGCAATTCATTTTGGTATCCCCAGGGTCTACCACATTGCAAGGTACATGGTAGGTTCATAGTGAATACAAACATAGATGCAAATTCATTCCACATCTAGCACCTTACCTGCTCCTGAGGGCGGATAACCACTGTATTAAAATCAGGCCACCTGTCCACCAGGGCCTTTAGCTTGAATGGGTTTCCCTGATTCATGTGGAAGACGGTCCCATAAACCTGCAGTATCCGGACAAAGTGAGAGGGTCAGCTTATTAGGAAGGGTTGGCAAAGTGCCTTGCGTTTGATCAGTTCAGTTTGTTTCTATGAAATGAGGGTAAGTACCTAATAGGGCATTCAGTTCAATCTTCAGGTTCTACTAGGTTCTAGATTTTGGGGTCAAACAATGAGAATATTATATGAATATTTTTTAAAATCCAGATAAATAAAATGAATAAATTAAAAATCATCTACTACCACATTGCAGAATTTAGTGTTCTCTTTCCATTTTATTCCGTTTATTTACACATTGTTTTTAAACATGAAATTACCTAATACATATTAATTTAACATCTATTCCCCCCCATACGTACACATACACACTATACTATGAGCATATTTCCATGTCAGTAAACACAAATCTACATAGTCTTTTTTTTTTTTTTTTTTTTTTTTTTTTTTGTACACGGACCTCTCACTGCCATGGCCTCTCCCGTTGCAGAGCACAGGCTCCAGACGCGCAGGCTCAGCGGCCATGGCTCACGGGCCCAGCCGCTCCGCGGCATGTGGGATCTTCCTGGACCGGGGCACGAACCCACGTGCCCTGCATCGGCAGGCGGACTCCCAACCACTGCGCCACCAGGGAAGCCCCAAAGGACTTTTGAGTTAGACTTTTGAGTTCATGTCGAGCACTTTGTGTAGTTCCTGACATTTGGTAAGTGTTCTAGAAGTGTTGGCTATAAATTTTATCATATTTTATTTAATCCTCCCAACAGCTCTGCAAGGTAATCATAACCCTCTTTAAGGTTGAGGAATGTCTACCGAGAGTTATTTACTTTCCAGTTTTACTCATTTTACATGCAAGAGCACTGAGACTTAGAGATGTTTACTTTTTGCAGTGTTACCCAGAAAACAATGAATTTGTGGGGTCAGAGCAGTCTGACTCCTGACCTTGTTCCTCTCGACAGTTCCCTACCCTACCTCAGTCAGAAGGATCAGTGTCTCTGGGCTACACTCAGCACTCATGGCTGAGTCTACACATGATCCCTATACAAGGTGTCAGAGCACCAGAAAAAGGTAAAACAAGGTGTAATATGATGCTATTCCTTCCAGGTTTCCCACCAGCAGGATCAGTGTAATTAACTATACTGAATTATACATCATATTCATGCTGCCCTGAGAAGTCCAGAGCTGTGATTCAGCAACAAAAGAAAATGAGATTTATTTTAGAGACAAGCCTTGTAAATTAACAGTTTATACCTAAGGTTTTTTGTTGTTGTTGTCTCTTGGGTTTTTTTGGAGGGGGGAGGTTGCTTATAAAGGTATTGATTTTTAATTTTTAATTCCAATTGTTCATTGCTAGCACATAGAAAAACAATTTTTGTATTATGTATATTCACCTTAAGCCTTTGCTAAACTCAGTTATATATCTAGGAGCTTTTTAGGGTTGCTTTTTGGTAGGTTCCTTAGGATTTTTTACATTACACAATCATACCATCTGTGAATAAACACTAATTTATTTCTTTCCAATACATATGTCTTTTATTTCTTTTTCCTGCCTTATTGTACTGGCTAGGATATCCAGTACCATGTTGCATAGAAGTGTGAGAATGAATATCCTTGCCTTGTTACCGATCTTAGGAGAACAGTCACTCTTTCACTATTTAGTATGATGATAGATGTAGATTTTTCCAGTATGCTTTTTATCAGGTTGAAGAAATTCCTTCTATTCCTAGTTTGCTGAGAGTTTTATTTCTATGAGGAATATTACATTTTGTCAAATATTTTTTTCTGCATCTATTGAGAGAAGATCATATGGCTTTTCTTTTTCAGTCTGTTGATATGGTGAATTACATTGATTGATTTTTGAATGTTGAACCTGCCTTGCATTTCCAAGATAAACTCCCCTTGGTTATGATGTATCATCCTTTCGATATATTGATGGATTTGACTTGATAGTATTTTGTTGAGGGTAATCTCTGTTCACAAGGGATATTGTTCTGTAGTTTTCTTTTCTTGTAATACCCACTTCTGATTTTGGTATCAGGGTAATTCTGGGCTCATAAAATGATTTGAGAAGTGTTTTCTCCTCTGCTCTATTCTGCAAGAGTTTGTGTAGAAGGGGTATTATTTTTTCCTTACATGTGTAGTAGAAATTGCCACTGACACCATCTGGACATGGAGTTTTCTTTGTTGGAATGTTTTAAATTACAAAATCAATTTCTCCAATAGATATAGGACAATATAGTTTGCATTTTTCTTCTTCAGTGACCTTTGGTAATTTGTGCTTTTCACAGAACATACATTGTGAAATTTATGAGCTCAGCATTGAAAACAGTGTATCCTAATATCTTTATAATGTCTATTGTGTTTGTAGTAATGCTCCCTGTTCTATTCCTGATATTTATAATTTGTGTCTTCTATTTCTTGGTCAGTTTGGTTAGAACTTTACCAACATTATTGATTTTTTTCACTGAACCAGAGTCTAGATTTATTGATTTTCTTAATTGTTTTTCTCTTCTCAAATTTACTGATTTCAGCTCTTATCTTTCATAATTTTCTTAATTGTGTTTTCTTTGAGGTTAATTTACTTTTTTTTCTAGTTTTAAAGGTAGAAACTTAAAGCATTGATTTGAGACCATTATTCTTTTTTATTATAAGCGCTTAATGCTATCTATTTCCCAGTTATCACTGCTTTAGTTGCATCCCAAAACTTTTCAAAAGTTGTATTTTTATTTTTGTTCAACTAAAATATTTTCTAATTTCACTTGTGATTTTTAAGCATGATTTATTTAGAAGTATATAATTTCTAGAAATTCAGGTATTTCCCAGACACCTTTCAGGTTTTTTTAATTTTGAGTTTAATTCTATATTGTTCAAGGACATGCTTGGTATGATTTCAATTCTTCTAAACTTTTTAAAATTATGGTCTACTTTGGTAAATGTTCCATGTGCACTTGAAAATAATATGTACTCTGCTGTGGTTGTGGAAAGTATTCTATAAATGCCAGTTACTTCAGGCTGGTTCATTGTATTTCATATGTAATAAGTTCGCATATATTTATAGGTTTTCTGTCTATTCTACAAATTGCTGAGAGAGGAATGTTGAAGTCTTTATACCTGTGTGTTTCCCTATTTCTTCTTTCAGTTCTATCAGTTTTTGTCTCAGGTACTTTGAGCCTTTGTTGTTGGGTGTATACATTTCAGCCTTTCTTATGTCTCCTTGATGAATTAATGCCTTTATCATAATGCAGTGGCACTCTTTAACAATAGCCTAGTCCCTTTGCAACATATATTATTGCAAGAAAAAACACTTCTCTGTGGTATAAGATCACTTCTTATACACAATTTCTGTCTCACCCCAGGTTAAACATAATAATCCTTTGGGGTTTGACAAAACAGAAATTGACCAGTTATTAATTACAAAGAAGAATCACAATGGTTAACTTTTCATCAGGCACTTGATTGTTTGGGAAGAATAAATTACACATTAACTTTGCCAGTTCTGGACAAACTTCCAGTGTTATATAACATAAGAGTTGAAAGGGCACAAGGGAAAGTTTTTGGGTCATCACACAGCAAAGAACATAGTGGATTCAAATCATAGCATTGCCACTCACTATTGCTGTGATCTTGGTCAAGTCATATAACTGAGCCTCCATTTCCTCTTTGGTTCTACAGACATGATGTACCTGCCTTGCAGAGAGATGATGTGAACTAAATGAGATGCAAGATGAGTGAGTGTCTGGCACAGAGTAGGTGCTCAGTGAATGCTTGTTCTCTTTCCCACCTTTTTCTGAGGCTGTTGCTAGTCCTTTTTTCCCTAAGAATGTTCCACTCTCACCTTTAAGGACTCAGGGAGGCTCTTCCTCAAGGATTTCTCTAGCATCTGCAGCAGTTGCGGGCCTTGTAAGTGGAACATCTTGGCAGGTACCTTAATCTAAAGAGAGGATCGAAAACCAAGGGATGAGAAGTGCTGCAAGACATACAAAGACACCTAAGCCCTGTTATCCTGGAAAACAGCAATTGCTAAAGAAACTTCTCCATCCCATTTGTGTTTTTGAAATGTCTTCCTGCAAAGCACTGTCCTTTCTTCCGTTTGGCGTAGTAAGACTCACCATGTCCCCCTGTTACCTATGACAAGGCCAGCTACTAAGCCTTCAAATTCCCAATCTTCAACAAATGAACAGCTCATACAACTCAACATCAACCCCACCCCCAAACAACCCAATTAAAAAATGGGCAGAAGAACTGGGTTCTTTGCAACCCTGTTTACTCTTCCTTCATAAATGGTTAGCTTGACCGTTCATCCCCACTGAACCATCAGAACAAAGTGTTCTGATGTCTTAACAAAAGTTATGGGCTTGAGCGCACATTAATCAACCTTCTCTCCTCCACACAGGGCTCTGCACTGTGACCTACGCTCAGCCAGAGCCACCACTGGCATTCAGAATGATCCCCCATGAACCTTGCTTACTCCTTTCCATAAAAGAATAACCATTTCCTGCCTGACCTTTCAGGTGTTTGCAGATGTTATGGTCTAAGAGTTCTCCTGTTGAAATAATACCCTCTTTCTGTTACAGCACTCCTTTTCCCCACTCTTGAAATAATCCTTTCAAATAAAGGCTCTCCTTCCCAAAGTCTGGCCTTGATTTTTATTCAACGGTATCTTAGTATGGCTTCATTACCATTGAAATAGACTTTTGTGACTAGCCTGGAAACCTAAGTATTGATTTATTCATCCATGCAGTCTTTCACTTATGCAATCGCTCAATAAATATTTATTGAGAACTCACTGTCATCTCAACAACTGTGGTGAGTGTCACCTCAGCTAGGCTGAACTACATTTCTCAGAATTCCCTTCCCTGCACATTTCCAGTTAGGGTGGGCCACAGAGAGATTCCTAAGGAGGACCTGGAGGGCAGAGTTGAAGCAGCAGGCGTTTTGCAGCTAAACTCACGACCCAAGGTAGGGGCTGGGTTGGCAAGTGCCTCACTCTCCCCAGGTCTGCTTTCAGCTTGTCTGTCACCTGGGCCAGGTGTGGGTGTTTAGCTCCTTACCAAAGGAACCTGGCTTCTGCGGGACACCCATTCTACCAAGGTCAGGGTCAGTAGGACCGACAAAGTTTCTCCGGCCCCGTGAGCCTCAGTTTATACTGTGGGTTTCAGCTTGTTCTTTTTCCCTCTCACGTTCCTTTCCCAGCTACCTTCCCTGTGTACTTCAGTCTTCAGCACCAGGTGGGAAGAAACAGCCTTACAGAAACTGCTGAACTAGTCCACACAATTGCATACGGTCGATTCCCTGTAACAAATCTACTTTTCGGCTCGGACCCTGACTGATACACTTAATTTTGATCAACTAACTCTCTGAGCAACTGTGAGCTTAGATTTCCTGTTGTTTAAGCACTCATAATCTAATAAGGAAAATAAAACACGTACACAACAAACATATGCCCCATAGAAAGAGCTAACTTATCCCATAAATATGCAATCACAATGTTATAGAATTCATGACATTTTGAAGCAGCCATTTTGATGTGCTTTAAAATATAAATTATTCTCATTTTTATTACCAAATGATATTGAAAACGAATTCAATCACCCTATCCCCAATCCTCACCTCTTCTTGAGCCTTAGTCCATTCCTAAACCTAAGAGTCTGATGTGTATAGTGTATATTACTATGTAATATAAAGCAGCATTTCTGCATTTTGACTCACTGTAGGAAATTAGGATTATCAGAAGAATTGGATCATAACATGCTGACTAAAAATGTAGACAGAAGACTGTGGCAAATCAAATGTTCTGCCTAAGGCCTACGAGATTCACAAAAGACAGAGAATACTTCTCAGTGGAAGCTTATAGCGTTCTTAAAGGAGATTGCACTAGAACTGGCCATTGAAGAGAGGATGGTGTTAGATGTCAGCTGTCATATCCCTGGGAATGACTGACTAACTCTTCCTGACAAGAACTATGGGGAAAGTTCTTGTTAGACTCAAAATGGCATTAAACTTGGAATATGCAAAACCCTGTAGATATTAGGAGAAAGTCATTGTTGTTTAAACTCATTTATTTGCCTAAGTTCCTGACTGTTCTTTTAAAGGTCATCCCCGGTCTGTTTTTGGTACCCATGAATTTAGCTCATCAATGCTAGGAAACTGACCTCAGCTGGCTTCTTCTCTACTTACTTTGGCTTCCCAGCTCTCTGGTCACTGTGTTCAGGGCCTGCTTCTCTTCAGCTCAACCCTTTGGGAACACTGGTCCTTTGGGATGAGCAGGTAGAATCTGTACTTGGAGAAATGGAACTAGTATTAGTTTGCGTCTATTGGCAGTCATGCTCCAGTTACCAAAGACTTCTTTTCATGTTTTGATCCTGCTGTTTTAACATGTTGGAGAATCTTGGACAAATTAATGTTTTGATTTTGCATATGTGTTCCCTTTTACCTGGACTTTTTGTCAGTTATCTGGGGAGAAAAAATAGTCCCTTCATTTAACCGGGAGGTCCCTTCATGATTTGAGGGGAGGAGAGTCTAGACCAGAACCACTAGGGAGGTGGTTATCTCTCTTTTTTCCCCACCTTTATTGAGATATGATTGACATATAATGTTGTGTAAGTTTAAGGTGTACAATGTGATGAGTTGATACATAGGTACATTGCAAAATGATCACCACAATAAGGTTAGTTATCACCTCCATCACGTCACGTATTTCTTTTTGCATTGTTGTGACAGCATTTAAGATCTACTCCTTAGCAACTTTCAAGTACATAATACAACACTGTTAATTATAGTCACCATGCTACACACCAGATCTCCAGAAATTATCTCATAAATGGAAGTTTGTACCCTTTGACCAACATCTTTGCATCTCCTCCAACCCCTGGTCACTTGCAACCACTATTCTTCTCTGTTTCTATCAGTTTGTTTTTTTTCAGATTCCACATGTAACTGAGATCATAGCATATTTGTCTTACTCTATCTGACTTTTTTCACTTAGCATAATGCTCTCAAGTTATCCATGTCACAAATGGCAGAATTTTCTTCTTTCTCATGACTGAATAATATTCCAATGTATAGATATACCACAACTTATTTATCCATTCATCCATCTGTGGACACTTAGACTGTTTCCATGTCTTGGCTCTTGTGAATAATCCTGCAATGAACATGGGGGTGCAGGTGTCTCCTCAAGATGGTGATTTAATTTCCTTCAGATATGTACCCAGAAGTGGGGTTACTGGATCATATGGTAGTTCTAGTTATAATTTTTATAGGAACCTCCATACTGTTTCCATAGTGGCTGCACCAATTCATAATCCCACCAACAGTACATTAGGGTTCCCTGTTCTCCACATCTTTGACAACACTTATCTCTTGTCTGCTTGATAATAGCCATTTAAACAGGTGTGAGGTATTATTGTGATTTTGTTTCAAGCATCTTTTCATGTACCTATTGGCCATTTGTATGTCTTCTTTGGAAAAATGTCTTTTCAGGGCTTCTTTGCTCATTTTTAAACAGGATTAAATATATATATAATATATATTTTTTGCTCTTGACTTGTATGAGTTCTTTACATATTTTGGATATTAACCCCTTATTGGTTTGCAAATATTTTCTCCCATTCCATAGGTTGTTCATTTTGTTGACTGTTTTTTTTCTCTCCATAAGCATTTTTTTTTTTTTTTGTGGTACACGGGCCTCTCACTGCTGTGGCCTCTCCCGTTGCAGAGCACAGGCTCCGGATGCACAGGCTCAGTGCCCATGGCTCACGGGCCTAGCTGCTCTGCGGCATGTGGGATCTTCCCGGAACGGGGCAGGAACCTGTGTCCCCTGCATCGGCAGGTGGACTCTCAACCACCAGGGAAGCCCTCCGTAAGCTTTTTAGTTTGATATAGTCCCACTTTATTTTTTGCTTTCGTTGCTTGTGCTTCTGTTGTCATATCCAAAAACTCATTGCCAAGACCAAGGTCAAGTTTTTTCCCCCATGTTTTCTTCTAGGAGTTTTACGAATTCAAGTCTTAATACATTTAAGTCTTTAACCCATTTTAAGTTAATTTTTAAAGTGTTGTTTGTATCTTGACTGTAGCTGCTGTGGGCAGTCACTGGGACTGGTAAGACTTACTTAAGTCCTGTAAATGAGTTTTTTTTTTTTTTACTATCAAGGTAAAGTCTATTAGTCTCCTCTGTCGTCCTTCTATTCCCCAGAAGACCACAGAATATTTCTTTAACTCAGTATCTGATTTAACAACTCCTGCCTTTCTTCATTTTATTTATGCTCTACTTCCAGAAGACCTTCTAAATCCAGCTTTTGCTCCCGTTTCAAAGTCTTACTCAAATTTCAGATTTTCCCCTATTGACTCCCTCTATTTCCTCAATCCAAACAATACAAATCACTCTCTTTTCTGCACTCCCCTAAGGTTATGTACATATTTCAATCACACAACTTGTTACAGTAAATTGCATTTTGTCTTCTAGATTATCAGTCCTCTGGGCAGGGCCTCCAATGATTTATTTTATTATTCTCAATGTTTATTACACACAGTAAGGACTCGATGTCTGTTTAGTGATTGAATGTACTATGTATTTGTATCAACATAATCGATTTAGTCACTCTGCTTACCAAGGGGAAAAAGACTCCTTCATTCATTCAACAAGTACTTGCAGAAGGCCAACTATGTTCTGGGCATGGGAATTTCTACCAGTTGCTCCTCTGAAAAAAGGCTCAGACCAGAATAGAAGTACCTGTGCCGTATCTTGGAAAGTATCAAGACAGTAGTAGACATGTATCATTTCTAAAGACTAATCAGACATTAGCGAAGAGCATTTCACAAAAAGATTACATGAAAATATGAAAAATTCAATTTGATGCCAGACTACTGGGGATATTAAAGTATCAACAAGTACATTTGGGAGAACTTTCTGTA